TAATTGCATAACCTTAACTACGTCCCCTACCAGTTGTTAAGACTAGCAGCGGTCCGTAGAGCCTATGCTTAGGTGTGCAACGTGCATAGCAGTGTGTTTTTTGCACGCTCGGAGATGCCGGCGTGTATCCTCTGCGCCTCGACACTGACTGGCCAGCTGCCAATTCCATGTCACGAATCTGGATCAGAACCTGTACGACGACTGAGTGGTAAACGAATAACAAATACGGTGTGGGAAGTAAGCAAAGTCATCAGAGCCGACGACCGTATTCTGCATGTGCACGCATTCTACTTAGTGCCTCACAGTGCTTGTCGAAAGAAACAAGCATATCGTAACTTCCGTGCCTCATGCGCACACATCACCGTTTCTTGTGGTTTCACATATTTAAGTCAATTTTCAATAAATAGTGCATCAAATTCTTCCAAAGATTACTCCATCATAAGTGAAAATACACAGAAACCATCAATTACGAGTACAGTTTTCAGCTGCTTTGGAGAAAATGAAAAACTTTTCACATTCCGTCATTTTGTGGAATTTTAAATTGACTGCCGATGCTATTAATTAAAATCGCGAGTTCCGCTCACTGAAAACCTTCGCAAAACGCGCTCATTAACTCTGAACGTAGCACGCTGCACAGCAGCTGGACGAGGGACTGCTTACTGTAGATGTTCAGTCAAAGACAGTATAGATGTATCGCTTTGTGCTTGGCACCACGATCCGTTTTCCCGTTACTAAATCATAGTCGGCTTCGTCTTCCTCGCCGCTTAAAACACTGCTTCCCTCCTCCCACTCATCATCATCACCATCGTAATAAGCTTCTTCCATCCGTAGTGGTGGTTGCTCATCCACTCTTTGCCCTGTTTGAATACATTTATCGGCACGGTTTGGCCAAGTTTGCGTTATCCTAAGACAAGAAGGAACGTATTAATAGTACACGATCTTGAGTTATACATAAACACCTATGCTACAAAACTACTGAGGAAAAGATTGCCACTGCTCGGTTAGCTAAGTTGATCAAGAAGCGCAGAAACAGATGCAAGTGTAATTCTAATTTATGAAAATTGCCTTCATTTTTGTTTTAAATGTTGTCGGACGCCCGAAATACTTGTGGCTTGCTGTACGACATGATTTCTCAACTGAAATTGATAGTCCAAAAAGAGCTGAATTGGGATATTAATCTGCTAAAGCTGGGGTTCATCCAGCATCGACTGTCTTAATCTGTTTCTTCAGGATCCTAAGTTTAAAATATTATAGCTTGTCTAACTTTTGGAGCTAAACTAGTGTATGGCCATGGTGATTTGAATCGGCGGCTCATCCTATACTTTGCAGCACGCTATTACGTACACTGCTACTTACTTCACCCTAAAAACTTTTCAACTTCCACTTGTCCCCAAAAGTTTCATGCATTCATATA